ATGGGGAGAGCTACAAGGTTCAGGTCTGGCTACTGACCCAACAATACAACAAACAAGAGATCCCTGTGCTCAAATCCATACAGCTAGTGCATGCATTTATCCATCAGGTGCTAAAGGGGTGTAACCACATTAACTCTAGAAATTCTGAAGGACCCTCTGCACACTGGTATATACCCTTTCAAGCAAACTATGCAACAAATAGGGATATTTGGTTCACACATATTGCAATACATGTTTAAGCTGGCCAACTGCGTCAAAGTAATCCCTCTATGGCCAGTCCTACTCTGCCCTGCCTACGCAAGTGCTACTGTGGACACAATGCTAGCATAGGGGAAAAGACACACAATGGGGAGAGCTACAAGGTTCAGGTCTGGCTACTGACCCAACAATACAACAAACAAGAGATCCCTGTGCTCAAATCCATACAGCTAGTGCATGCATTTATCCATCAGGTGCTAAAGGGGTGTAACCACATTAACTCTAGAAATTCTGAAGGACCCTCTGCACACTGGTATATACCCTTTCAAGCAAACTATGCAACAAATAGGGATATTTGGTTCACACATATTGCAATACATGTTTAAGCTGGCCAACTGCGTCAAAGTAATCCCTCTATGGCCAGTCCTACTCTGCCCTGCCTACGCAAGTGCTACTGTGGACACAATGCTAGCATAGGGGAAAAGACACAATGGGGAGAGCTACAAGGTTCAGGTCTGGCTACTGACCCAACAATACAACAAACAAGAGATCCCTGGGCTCAAATCCATACAGCTAGTGCATGCATTTATCCATCAGGTGCTAAAGGGGTGTAACCACATTAACTCTAGAAATTCTGAAGGACCCTCTGCACACTGGTATATACCCTTTCAAGCAAACTATGCAACAAATAGGGATATTTGGTTCACACATATTGCAATACATGTTTAAGCTGGCCAACTGCGTCAAAGTAATCCCTCTATGGCCAGTCCTACTCTGCCCTGCCTACGTATGTATTGCAATATGTGTGAACCAAATATCCCTATTTGTTGCATAGTTTGCTTGAAAGGGTATATACCAGTGTGCAGAGGGTCCTTCAGAATCTCTAGAGTTAATGTGGTTACACCCCTTTAGCACCTGATGGATAAATGCATGCACTAGCTGTATGGATTTGAGCACAGGGATCTCTTGTTTGTTGTATTGTTGGGTCAGTAGCCAGACCTGAACCTTGTAGCTCTCCCCATTGTGTCTTTTCCCCTATGCTAGCATTGTGTCCACAGTAGCACTTGCGTAGGCAGGGCAGAGTAGGACTGGCCATAGAGGGATTACTTTGACGCAGTTGGCCAGCTTAAACATGTATTGCAATATGTGTGAACCAAATATCCCTATTTGTTGCATAGTTTGCTTGAAAGGGTATATACCAGTGTGCAGAGGGTCCTTCAGAATTTCTAGGTTAGTCGGTAAGTCACATTTTGTTAATGCTATCCTTCATTTTTGTGCTTATTCTAGCCTTTAGTCTAGGATCACATTTGGACACACTACACTACGACTACAGGGTTCCACCATCCCTGACCTCCATCACATTGTTCTCATTCTACCAGGATCCATTAAAAACCTCCAAATGGGACATCCTCCAACAATTCCTTACTGCAGCACATACTGTGAGCTCAACCACCCACTTTCTCGGAATGGGTCTTTGAATTAGACAATAGGCTCCATTCACAAAGCAGGAAGTCCTCTTTAAAATTTGTGATAAAATACCTCACAGCATTTTTAAAAAGGTTTTTTGGCATTCACAAAAAAAGCTACTAAAATAAGGCATACAGTATTAAATCGAAATATGCCGCATTTATCTCATTAAACCATGCAATATTTTATCTCTTGTAATATCCAGTGGAATGGATACAATGGAGAAAAATTAGAACCCCTGTCAGTTTTTATTGCTAATAAAGAGGTAAAATGGTTTAAACCGTAAAAATATGACAACTCACTAAGTCAGAGCAGTCCCTGCAGCATATGTATTAGTACAAAAGAAAAAAGGTGACTAGAATATTAGGAAGGGGTGGGTGGATGGAAGGAAGGAAGAGAGGGGTGGAAGGAAGGAAGGGTTGGGTGGGAGGAAGGGTTTGGTGGGTGGAAAGGGAGGGAGGGGTGGAAGGAAGGGAGGGAGATGTGGGTTGGTTCGAAGGGAGGGGTGGAAGGAAGGAAGGGAGGGGTGGAAGGAAGGAAGGGAGGGGTGGAAGGAAGGAAGGGAGGGGTGGAAGGAAGGAAGGGAGGGGTGGAAGGAAGGAGGAGTGGGTGGAAGGGAAGGAGGGGTGGGTGGAAGGGAGGGAGGGGTAGGTGGGTGGAAGGAAGGAGGAAGAGAGGGGTGGAAGGAAGAGAGGGGTGGGTGGAAGGAAGGAAGGAAGGAAGAGGTGGGTGGAAGGAAGGAAGGGGTGGGGGTGGAAGGAAATAAGGGAGGAGTGGGTGGAAAGGAAGGTAGGTTGGACTCATGTGACTCTTTCAGATTTATCAGAGCTGTCGGCTGCTGTGTTCAATTTCCCGCCCACACGTCCTCTGAAGCTGCACGGACGTGAGTGTTGGCGTGCACAGGGGGAGGCAGAGCAGATCCAGCCTCTCTCCCCTCTTTTTTCTATTGGTGCGGGGCAATGGAGGGAGAGGCTGGGCAGTGAGAAGAACACAGCGGTAGTGGGGGGACAGAGAACACAGAGGTGGTGGGGGGCAGGGGGCAGCAGAAAGAAAACTGAACCATCAGGTATGTTCTGTGCAGCCGTGGGGGTGGTGACAAGCAGCGATCTCCTGTATGGCTTTCAATGAAACAGCTGGAAGCCGATTCTCCTCCTCTCCCTCCCGCTACTTCCAGCTGCTTTATTGAAACCCATACAGGAGATCGCTGCTTGTCACCACCCCCAACGCCACCCCTCTCACACACCCCTAGTCCAGGCAGTGCTCGCCCCCACCTTATTTCCACTCGCGGGCGAGTGGATTGAGGGCTGTAGGGATAGTTGGCAACTCTCCTCTGGGGGGGGGGGTTCAGACGCCTGTGACCCCCCTTATCTACGCCCCTGCCACACGCTGAACGTTCGTAGGAATGACTGTCATGGGCTGGGAACCACCATGGCCGGGATCGTCAATGACGGACGTACGCTCATCTTTGAAACATTTACACCATTCAAATGTCTTACTGTGGATGGGCGTCTCATCACCATACTGTGCTTGAAGTTTTCTGTAGTTATCTGCTGGTTTTATGCCTTCGTTCACAAGAAACTTCATCACCACACTCTGTTCCATGTATGCACCAACACTTTAGTCTGCCATCTTGATTATCAATCAATAAGCTCCTATGTTGAAACCCTACACACAAAATCACAACTTTCTCCCTAGAAATTATACAATCTAATAAATCCTTTTTTGTGATACACATAAATCCCCAAAAATTATCTTTACACTCAATAGATGATATAGATATATAAAAAAATCATATATGAAAATAATGTATAAATAAACCCAAAAATGTCCAAAATCCCAAACAAAATATTTTCTTTCAATCCAGTGATGCAGAAATTGGTGCTAAAACTCCAAGATTACCTCAAAGAAAAATAGAAAAAAGAAAATACATAGTGCATTACCCTTTTCAAAAATTATATATATATACCTCACTCCGTGCACAACACAAAAACACACTCAAACTCATTTTTGTGCAAAATAAATCCACTATATATCTTAATCCAAAATTAAATAAAAATAAATAAATAAATAAAGTAAAATAAGTGAACCCAAAACGTGAAAAATTGTGATCACTCCACTCACAAGTGAAATAGTGATGCTAGGTACTAGTACCCTCTAAACTTCAGCCAAAAAAAGTGATGCTAGGTACTTTTACCCTCTTGCAGTATTTTAGAGCATGAAGTGACATAGGGGATCCGTATTTCTCAATCCATCATATCTTTAGATTTTCTCCCAACTCCTCATAGAAGCATAAAACAGGCTCTTTAGGCAGAATCAATAAAATAGGATAAATTTTAATAGCAACTCACATTAAAAACAGGGATATCCAGCTTCCTATAATCCTCTTTCAAGTTTCAGGTTGGAAACCACATGTTTCCAACCAAAAAAATGGCCGCGGCGACACTTCCGGTTAGCGTGCGTGCGTGATGGCGTCACTCCCCTAACGCGTTTCGTCACTTCCGGACTTCATCTGAAGGGATACCGAAGTCACTCCCCAGGTTCAGACATGGCAACGATGGCAGAGAAGCCTTTAATTCCCTCCCCCACTACCCATATAACCCTTTTCTATCTCACCACACACTCCCTCTCTCCACCTAAGCCCACCTCTTTCTTATGTCATCCCCTTTTCCTTCCCCACATCCCTATCCTAATATACAGTGTAATTATATAGCATATGCATGATCAATTCTTTAACATGGATGGACACATAAGTTCCTAAACATTGATAACTCTATATATACTGTATATACCCCATTGATCCCATCCTTTACTATACCTGTCCATCTGGGAGCTACCTTGCAACCTGGGAGATACAGTTAAAGTGTTACTAAACCCACAACAGTAAAATCAGTCTGTATATGCAGTAAAGCATGCTTGTTATACTCTCTGTGGAACCTAAGGGGTTAATTCTCCACATTGTGTAAAAAGGCTGTTTGATCCTTTCTTTTCTGATCCTCCTCTTCTTTCCATTGTCCTATAAATATTTCCTGAACAGAGGTTTGGAGTCACTCTGCACATGCTCAGTTTGGTTTGTATTGCTAGAGAGGGTTTTTTTTTTTCTTCGGAGAGTGCATGTGATCCGCACAGTGCCAATCAGCACTGTCCAGACAGAGGTCAGGGGTCCTGCATCCTCCTAGAGGAGAATGAAAACCCCTCCTACAGGCTTTACCTAGTGCTCTACTGCACACTGATAGAGGTCACAAGACTGCTATATACTGCTGATGAGAAAAGGTATTTAGCTGTTTATATTTACTACAATAACTGTATTTCCATGTGTGTACTGTTGGAGACCAGATATAGTGAATGCAGGGTCCAGGTAGACCAGATATAGTGAGTGCAGGGTCCAGGGAGACCAGATATAGTGAATGCAGGGTCCAGGGAGACCAGATATAGTGAATGCAGGGTCCGGGGAGACCAGATATAGTGAATGCAGGGTCCGGGAGACCAGATATAGTGAATGCAGGGTTCGGGGAGACCAGATATAGTGAATGCAGGGTCCAGGGAGACCAGATATAGTGAATGCAGGGTCCAAGAAGACCAGATATAGTGAATGCAGGGTCCAGGGAGACCAGATATAGTGAATGCAGGGTCCGGGGAGACCAGATATAGTGAATGCAGGGTAAGGGGAGACCAGATATAGTGAATGTAGGGTCCAGAGAGACCAGATATAGTGAATGCAGGGTCCCAGGGAAACCAGATATAGTGAATGCAGGGTCCTGGTTTAGTAACATTTTAATACTATGAGATTACTGCTCTAAACCAGTATCATACTGTGGAAGATGGGATTTTGGGGCACAACTATTAAAAAATATACATTATTTATTTAATTTAATATAAAAGCTACTGATATAACGTATGATATTTTCATACAATGAATCCATAATATAATTTTTTTTCATTGCTTTCTCCAAAACATTTTATAACAATGGTATACATATATGCTGACTTTTGTGGCCTGACGCATTTCATGGAATACTCCACTTCTTCAGGAGCCGCCAGTCTAGTATTGTATCAGAATTGATCTGAAGAACAAAAAGGGGGTATACATATACATGTATCATTATTAGAGATGAGCGAATCGAAGTAGGCGAAGTGGAATTCGTTTCGAATATTAGAAAAATTTCGATTCGCGCCGAATCCGAAAATAAGCAGACTTCGGATGCGCGAATCGAAATTTTTCCTAAAATGGCGGCGACATGTGCGGCGACGGAGCGGGGATGTCTGGGAAGGCGCGCAGACAAGGCGCGCTGACCCATAATGCATTCATTCATGACATGTGATCGCATTAGCCAATCAGCAGCCAGCCAGCCAGCACTGTGTAATGGTCGAGCTATAAATGGCGGCCATTTTAGAATTCTCCATTTGCCTCCAGTCATTCAACAGAGGCAGACCTGGCTGTATTCAGGGAGAGAGTTAGGACA